TTAGGTAAATCTCGCCTTAAGTTTAAACCAAAACAAGAACCAGAGTGACTAGGTAAAACAGATTAGATTAACTCAGCAGCACCTCAATAAACAGAATGTTAAAGTAATATCTGTTTGCACAAGTAAGTAATTCAAAGGTGTATCAAGGCAAAGCTCTCAAAAGCTTGCAATTGGCTTTGAAAAATTCATCTAAACCTCTTCGTCAGGACCACCATGGCATCCTATCTAGACACAGAAGATGGCTGGCTAGCCAATGATGGGTAAGATTCCTCAAGGGAGGAAAAACCTAAGACAGAGTCACACAAGAACATAAAGGCCAGGGCAAAAAGAAAAAAAAGAAAGGCCCTGGCACTACACTTGACTGGAGGTACTAAAGCAAGGCATCCATGGAGAGTGCCTACCCTCTATTAGTCATCCCAAAGTAAAAGAAAGTAAAACTTTGGCCTAAAGAATCAAGATGCATCCTACATAGAAGGCAATTAAAATATCTGTCCTACCCAGGTATTCTCTCCTACATATAATTTAATACTATCTTCAAAGAGGAGGCTACTATGGTGGTGTGCTCTATTGAAAATATTACTTATATACAGAATGCACCAAAGGGGGGGATGAAGAGGGAAAAAATAATAAAACAACATAATATAAAAATAAAATTAGATGCAAGTAGAAGATGGCCAATTAGGAGCAGCTCTGGATTGCAGCTCCCAGTGAGAGCACTGAGGGAGAATGGACACCGCATTTCCAGATGGATTTTTTTATTGCCCACAGACCAGGAGATTCCCAGGTGGAGGAGTGCCATGGGTCACCAGCGCAGCTGTTTCCACCTGCACGGCAGGTCTCCGCATAAAAAACTCACATGGGTCCGGGCGCCATTTCAGCTGGCAACTGGAGCGCCAGGGAGACAGAGTCGCCTGTTCAACTGATAAAAAGGGGACTGAAACAGGAAGCCAGGTCGGGAGATTACCAGGCAAAAAAGCGCCACAAGTCTCCAGCGTGGCTGTTTCAGCCAGTGCAGTGGGTCTCTGCATGGGAAATTACACAGTCCCGGGCACCTTTTCAACAGGCAACTGGAATGCCTGAAAGACAGAGTCACCCATTCAACTGATAAAAAGGGGACTGAAACAGGGAGCCAAGCCAGGAGATTCCCAGGCAAAAAAGTGCCCCGAGTCTCCAGCACCCAGCACAGTGGGTCACCACAAAAAAATCTCTCACAAATATGGGCATCTTTTCAATTGGCAACTGGAACGCCTGGGAGACAGAATCTCCTGTTCAACTGATAAAGGGGACTGAAACAGGGAGCCAGGCCAGGAGATTCCTGGACAAAAAAGTGCTACGAGTCTCCAGTGCAGCTGTTTCAGCCAGCGCGGTTGTTTCAGCCAGCGCAGCGGGTCTCCACACAAGAAATCACATAAATCAGGGTGCTGTTACAATTGGTGACTGGAACGCCTGTAAGACAGAGTCACCCATTCAATTGGAAAAAAAGGAGTCTGAGGCAGGGAGCCAGGTGATCAGACTTGACTCAGTCCCACCCCCACAAAAACCAGCAATCTGAAATACTTTGGACTGAGAGTTTCACAGCAAACACAGCTGAACCTGGGATGGTCCAGCTCTGTGGGGGAGGGGCGTCTGCCATTACCGAGGCAGTCCACCACTACTGAGGTGGTCTGCCATTGCTGAGGCAGCGCGCCATTACAGAGAGAGTCTGCCATTAAAGAGGCGGGCCACCATTGCTGAGGCAGTTCTAATTGTATCCCGATAAACAGGACTGCAGGGAAGTTCACACAGCAGCTGGGTGGAGCCCACAGCAGCTCAGCAACGCCTCTGCTGGCAGACTGTGAATAGGCTGCCTCCTAGCTGGGCAGGGCAGCCCTGAAAAAAGGCAGCAGCATGACAGAAACTTATAAATAAAGCCCTACCTTCCTGGGACAGAGCACCTGGGGAAAAAAAGGTGGTTTTGAGTTCTGCTGCAGCAGACTTAAACGTACCTGCCCAGCAGCTCTGAATAGAGCTCACAGCTCAGCACTTGAGCTCATATAAAGGACAGACTGTCTCCTCAAGCAATTCCCTGACCCCCGTATATCCAGAGTCACCTGATAAAGGACAGCTCAGACTGACAACTAGCGGGTATCCTTCCACGATAAAGATCACAGAAGAAGAAACTGGGTCTCCTTTGGGTCCCACACATCCCCCAATGCTTGTCATCAAAGAGGGAACCCCTGGTCCACAGCACAGACCATCCTGGGCTGATTGCACTGAGAAATTACTGACCCACATCACTCTGGGGTGGAGCCCCCAGGAGACAAGCAAAGTGGTAGAGTAGCAAGCCAGCTGATGTGCTGCAGGAGCATCTGTAGCAGAATGTCCCCAAGGATGACCATCCCTCTAGGCTTGGCTTGCTCCCATAAGACACTTTAGTTCTAGGGAAACTGTTGGACCTGATATGATCTTTGCAGGGTGATCTTGCACATCAGATAGGGCTGGTCCAACCTAAACATTCCTTGGTTTTAGCCTCCCCTGGGGCCCCATCCTGGTCATATCTGCTTACAGGACAGTCTTAGGTGCCCTGGAGGCCAATACCGTAGCTTCTGCACCAGTGGACCATTCCTGACTGGTGGAGAGCTCCAGTAAGGCAGCTCCTATGGCTGTGTACCAACCCACACATTTCCTCCTCATACTGCAGCTTCCCCCAAACCCACAGCAACTGCCTACATCATTTTTAGGGCACGTGTCTGCATGGGTAGATTTTGCTTTACTTGCTCCACCAGCACACAGGAGTACAGTACTCCCCCCCCGCCATCACCACCCCTGTTGGCCGCCATTGCAGATGGAGCCTTGGTAGCCACAGAATCAACAAACCTCATCCTCACCAGTACCCCACCCTTATGTTAATGTTGCACAGAGAACAAGGTATCCTCCCACACCCTGAGTGATCACTCCTGCTTGTGGGGCACAGAAAAGGAACTAGACCTCTGCTGTCCAGCACCCCACCCCATTGCAAACACTACCTCCAGTTTAGCAATGCACACATTCTCCAGGAGGGGCCCCCTGCTCCCCACTAATGGCCTTGTTCCCATCACTGTGGCATGACATATTTAAAGTGTTGAAGGAAAAAAATTTTTTGCCCTACAAGAGTATATTCGGCAAAAATATTCTAGAAACATGAAGGAGAAATACTTTCCCAGCCAAAAAGAAAAAAGAAAGAAAGAAAGAAAGAAAAAATGCTGAGGAGCTGCATCAACACCAGACCTGTCTCACAAAAAAGCTAAAGAAAATTCTTCAACCTAAAAGAAAATGATGTTAATGACCAAGAAGAAATAATCTGAACATGCAAAACTAACTGGTAGTAGTAGGTACACAGAAAAACATAGAATAACTGTTACTATGGTGTACAAACTACTCATATCATTAAGTATAAAGATGAAAGATAAACTGATCAAAATAATGACAACTTTTCAAGGCACAGACAATCTACTAAGATGTAAACAGAAACAACAAAAAGTTCATAAGTGAGGAGACAAAGTTGAAGTGTAGAATTGTTATTAGTTTTCTTTTTGCTTGTTTGTTTATGCAATAGGTATTACATTATCATTACTTTAATGAATTATAAGATATTATTTGCAAGCCTCATGGTAACCTAAAACTAAAAATGTATAACAGATACGCAAAAAATTTAAAAGCAAGAAATTAAAATATGCCAACCAAGAAAATCGCCTTCACTAAAAGGAAAATAGGAAGGACGAAATGGAAGAGAAGATCACAAAACAACCAGAAAATACGTAACAAAATGGCAGGAGTAAGTCCCTATTTATCAATAACAAAATTGAATGTGAGTGGACTAAACTCCCCAATTAAAAGACACAGAGTGTCAGAATGGATTTTTTTTAAAAAAGAATCTAACAATCTCTTGCCTGCCAGAAACGCACTTCATGTATACAGACATACACAGACTCAAAATGATGGAACAGAAAAAGATACTCCATGCCAATGGAAACCAAAACAAGCAGGAGTAGCAGACAAATTAGGTTTCAAAACAAAAACTATAAAAAGAGACAAGATTATTATATAATATTAAAGGAGTCAATTCAGTAAGAAGTTGTAACAATTATAAATATGTATGTATCAAACACTGCATCACCCAGATGTATAAAGCAAACATTGTTTGTTAGAGCTAATGAGAGAAACCCCAATACATTAAAACCTCAAGACTTCAACACCCCACTTTCAGCACTGGACAGAAAATCAACAGATCATCCAGACAGAAAATCAACAAAGAAACAATGGATGTAATCTGCACTATAGAACAAATGAACCTAATAGGTATTTACAGGACATTTCATCCATCAGCTACATAATACATTCTTTTCCTCAGCATGTGGATCATCCTTAAGAATAGACCACATGTGACTGGGGAATAGTGGCTCACACCTGTAATCCCAGCACTTTGGGAGGCCAGGGACATCACCTGAGGTCAGGAGTTTGAAACCAGCCTGGCCAACATAGTGAAACCCCGTCTCTATAAAAAATATAAAAATTAGCCAGGCATGGTGGTGGGTGCCTGTAATCCCAGCTATTCAGGAGGCTGAGGCAGGAGAATCACTTGAACCTGGGAGGTGGAGGTTGCAGTGAGCCAAGATCGCACCACTGCACTCCAGCCTGGGCAATAAGAGTGAAACTCTGTGTTAAAAAAAAAGAGGTAGGTAAGTCACAAAACAAATCTTAAAACATTCCAAAAAATTTAAATAATATGTCTTCTCTGACCACAATGAAATAAAACTAGAAAGCAATAACAAAAGCAATATAGCTAAAAGTGAAGTGCCTACATCAAAAAAGGAAAACTTTTAATAAACAACTTAATGATATATCTTAAAGAACTAGAAAAGCAAGAGCAAGCCAAACCCAACGTTAATAGAAAAAAAGAAACACCATAGCATACATAAGATCAATGAAACAAAAAAATGGCTTTTAAAAGCCAAAAACTCTGACAAACCTTTAGCAAGACTAACTTAGAAAAAAATGAGACAGGACACAAATAAATCAAATTAGAGATAAAAAAGAAGAAATAACTCATACTGCAGAAATTCAAAGGATCATCAGAGGCTACAATAAGCAACTATATGCCAATAAATTGGGAGACCTACAAGAAATGGATACATTCCTATATACATACAGCTTACCAAGATTAAGACATGAAGAAATCCAAAACTTGTGAATAGACCAGTACCATGTAATATCATCAAAGCTATAATAAAAACTCTACAAAGAAAAGCCCAGGGCCCAATGGTTTCTCTGCTGATTTTAACATTTAAAGAAAAACTAATCAATTTCTCTTCAAACTAATCCCAAAAGTAGACATAGAATACTTCCAAACTCATTCTATGAGACCAATATTACTCTGATACCAAAACCAAATAGAGGCACATCAAAAAATGAAAACTACAGGCCAGTATCTCTGATGAACATGAATGCAAAAAACCTCAACAAAATACTAGTAAGCCAAATGCAACAACACATTTAAAAAATCGTCATGACCAAGGAGTATTTATCCTAGGAATACAAGAACGGTTCAACGTTTGCCAGTCAATCATTGTGATACAGCAACAGAATGATGGACAAAAACCACATGATAATTTCAACTGATGCTCAAAAAGCATTTGATAAAAATAAAAACACCTCATGCTAAAAACCCTAAAAAAACTGAGTATAGAAGGAACATACCTCAACATAATGAAAGTCATATATGATAGACCCAGAGCTAGTATCATACTGAATAAAGATATACTCAATAGGGATGCAGAATAAGGAATAGGGAAAAACTGAAAACCTTTCCTTTATTATCTGGAACCTGACAAGGTTGTCCACTTTCACAACTGTTATTCAACATAGTACTGGAAGTCCAAGCTAGACCACTCAGCCAAGAAAAAGAAACAAAGGACATCCAAAATGGAAAGGAAGAAGTAAAACCATCCTTATTTACAGGTGATATTATATTTGGAAAAATGTTTAAAGATTCAAAAAAAAAAAAAAAAACCCAACCCTATTAGAACTCGTAAACAAATTCAGTAAAGTTGGAGGATACAAAATCAATAGATAAAAATCATTTCTATGTGCCAGCAGCAAATAATCTGGACAAGAAATTATGAAGATAATCCCAGCACTTTGGGAGGCCAAGGTGGGAGGATTACTTGAGGCCAGGACCCCAGAGACCAGCCTGAGAAACATAGCAAGACTGTATATCTACAAAAAAATACTTAAAATCATCCAGGTGTAGTGGTATGAATCTGTAGTCCCAGCTACTCAGGAGGCTGAGATGGAAGAATCACTTGAGCCCAGGAGGCTGAGGCAGTAGTGAGCTGTGATCACATTACTGCACTCCAGCCTGGGCAACAGATCCTGTCTCAAAAAAAAAAAAAAGGACAATTTCTACTTATGATTTTATTGACATCAGTAGTATTGAACAAGATGTTAGTATTAAAATCTTGATCCAGTTCTACCACTAACTAGCAAGTAATTTAACATGGAGCCTAAGTAAGTTGCTTAATATTAAGGTAGCTCAGATTTCTTTCTTTTTTTTATTTTCAATTTGGGATTGCTTAAGGAATCTATAAAATAAATGTGAGTGTTCTATCAAAATGTACAACATCATTATTTTAATTTTAAATATTAGAAGGCAGACATTAAACCAAAAAGCAAACTAAATACAACCTAACATACAAATTATTAAAAAGTGTATAGGGAAGAATACAGCTATGCAAATAACACACGTGGTTAATACCATGATTTTCTATTTGGGACTTTTGATGTGTGTTTATTATAAGTAAGCTAACAAGCTGCACTTTATTCTTCAACCACAAGTACAGATGTATACCATTTCAAACTAGATCGTGTACATGGCTGTATTTTAGCCAAAGCATAGGCAATTCTCAATAAATGGAGCATTTTCATCTAATGCTTAGCAGACCTACTCCACTACTGAACCATAACATAAGCTGTCATTTTGTATCTACATGGGTAGCTCCCTATATTGACAGATAACTGAATGCAGACTGTACCCTGAAACTGATGAAAATTCAACAATATTTATTAATGCATTGAAAGTATATATGACATAGATATAAGTGGAAAAGAACCTTTGTTCTAAGAAGTAACGAAGCCAAATAGAAATAAAAAATTAAAAAGAACATTATAGCACACGTTTGGGAAAGAAACTAGAAAAAGATCTCAAAAGCTACTTAGCCACGAATTAATGGGTACAAAGTAGAAATTCCATTTTGGGTTCACTGGGTTACGTCTTGCTCTAATTCGTAGTACTAAAATTATTTCATGTGTTGACAGGGGAAAAAACACTAAAAATTTAGTATTGTAACATCTACTTTGGGTTGAGATATGCATCACTTGAATAGAAAAACTTCAACAATATTCATACAGTAACTCTATTACCAGTGGTTCCTGACCTTTAACCTACTTCAGAATAACCTAGAAGGCTTATTAAACAGATTGCTGGCCCCCATACCTAGAGTTTCTGATTCAGGTGGTCTGGAGTGAGACCTTAGGACTTCATTTCTAACAAGTTCTCACATGATGCTGATGCTGCTGGTTTGGTCAGGGACTATGCTTTAAGAATCTTTTCTACAGATTTCTCAATCAAATACTGAGAATTATATGTTGACTCACATTATATCAGTACCTTCAGAGCAAAGACAGGGTATCTTGCAGAGATTTTAGTTTAGATTCACCAAATTCTATTTTAAGTCCTCAGTAGAAATTGTGAAAAGAAACTAATAAAATTCAAGGAATTAGAAGTGTAACTACTATTACAGTACAAGAGCTTCTACTAGGAATGGTAGTTGATTAGTTATTTTTAAGTTGGTGGGACAGATAGGTTGGCCTTTTGGAGTAAGCCTAACAGTCATGGGCATCAGTTTTGTGTGTCAAGCAGATGGAAAGCAGAAGATTCCATAATTCACTAAATGCAGCTTAAGAGAGTTTCAACCATAATGGCAAGAAGTGAACAGATAACCAACTCTTAGATGTCTGCATGGATCACACCACCTCCAGAAATACCGCCTTCAAAAAGGTTGTGAAAACTAAGGAAAACAACAGGGTTACCAAAGAAAATTCTAAGATTCTTATTACTACTATAAGGTATGGTCAAGTGCTTGCAAATATATTCAGACACTGTTCACAGCATATCACTTACAACCACAATTACAAAAAAATTAAAATAATAAAAGAGTAAGATAAATGTAATAAGCTTTTATTATATTAGTATAATTTTTATGATGGTTAGTATATCTTAGTCACAAGTGATGATCTTTTTTCCTTTAAGTTTTTAAAATCAATATATGGAAGACATGCAATACTAAGTTCTTCTCTTGTACATCCTGTAAGACAACACTTTTCTGAATATCCTCTGCGTTTTCTTTGGGGATGATTCCCCCAAAACAAATTGCTTAAGGTTTTAATTTTGTTTCTACCTTTCTTCTGAAATTTTGCATTCTCACGAATATACGGATTGATATTATGTGATGAAGAAAATTCTCTTGTCTTATCAAGAGGTGAGTATGCCTTTTTATACTGATACTCAGGTAGTGACTGCAATTCCCAACTGTTTACCGCTTCTTCCCAAGAGGCAGAAGTAGACACTGTTGAGAGAGAAGAAAAGAAATGCTCCTTTATTAAAATCTTCCTTTAGATGAAAATTGAATATTGGAACAGTAAAATCAGCTAATTATTAAAAAATAAGTAATCGCATTTTAAATAAAGAATAGAAAGTATGGTTATTCAAAAGCAATATGTATTTTAACTAAAGTAGGTGTATGTTTTCCTATAAAAAGGCTGTAAACCTTTGCTTAGTTTTGTATTAACAATTTAAGTTGAGATATCATCACGTCATAAAATTATTCATTTTAAAGTATACAATTCAATGGTTTTTAGTAATATTCACAGGGTTGTGAAACTATGACCAGGATGTGAAACTATAAATCTAATTCCAGAAAATTTATTTGCAAAAAGAAACCCTATGCCCATTAGCAGTCATTTCCATTTCCGTTTCCTACTGTCTCCTGGCAGTTACCAATCTACTTTGTTTCTATGGATTTGTCTATTTCATATTGAAAGCAAACAATATAAGACCTTTTGTGTCTCGTTTCTTGCACTTAGCATAATGTTTTCAAGGTTCACCTACATAGTAGCATGTATCTTTTCATGGCTTAATAATTTTCCATTGTATGGACATTCCACATTTTGTTAATCTGTTTGTCAACTGATGGATATTTGAGTGGTTTCCACTTTTTGGTCATTATGAATAGCACTGATGGCCTGGTGCAATAACTTGTGCCTGTAATCTCATCACTTTGGGAAGCCAAGGCGGGCAAATCACTTGAGGTCAGGAGTTTGATACCAGCCTCGCCAACATGGCAAAACCCTGTCTCTATTAAAAACACACAAAAAATTAGCCAGGCGAGGGGAGATCCAAGATGGCCAATTAGACACACCTCCAGTGCACAACACCCAGTGAGAGAGATGCAGAAATCCAGAGATCTCCTGGCTCCAACCGAGGTACCAGGTGCATTTCAATCGATCTGGTCCCATGGTGAGCAAAGCCCACTGAGGGCAGACCGAGGAGGGGAAAGGTGCTGCTTCACCCAGAAAGTGCATCTGACCGGTGAGTCAGAGGCTCCCCTCTGGCAAAGTGGTCCAGATACAGCACTTCCCCCAAAGCCTCAGCATTACACAGAACAGATCTTTGCCAGTCAATTACAAGCTCAGAGTTGAATAAGACCCTGCAGACAGTGCCCGGAGAGAGAGGGAGCTGTAAGCGGGAGCAGCTGGGCGGGCCCTACCCCATGACCGGAAAGAGAGGAAGCTGAAAAGGGGAGACAGCCGGGTGTGGCTGGGCGGGTCCCTACTCTCCCCCACAAACCCCAGAGGGCTGAAGCTTTGACTCTAGTGGGTCGCGCAGCCAGTGCCAGTCTGAGATAAACCCTGAATGATCCAGCCCAGTGGAGGAAGGGCACAACCCACCACTAGAGGGGTAGGACTGGGCTATGTGTTTTAACAAAAAACACAGGAAGCCTACCTAGCAACAGGATGGTGTTCTTGACAACCCAGCAGCGCCTACAGGTCAGGGGAAGTGGCAGGCCTAATTTCCCAGTATAAACAAACCAGACACAGGAAGCTTCCCTAGTAACCTAAAGGAGACCCTAGAAACTCAGTAGTGCCTCCACAGGCAGACAAGCAACCTCATCAAGCAGCTCCCTGACACCACAGCCAGGTAAATCCACAAAGATGGGAAAAAACCAGAGCAAAAAAGATGAAACCATCAAAGACAGAACACCTCTTCTCCTTCAAGGGATCACAACTCCTCAACAACACAGGATCACAACTTGACAGAGTGCAACAAAGTGACAGAAACAGGCTTCAGAAGGTGGATAATAACAAACTTTTCTGAGCTAAAGGAACACATTCTAACTCAATGCAAAGAAACCAAAAACCTTGAAAAGAGGTTAGACGAAATGCTAACTAGAATAACCAGCTTAGAGAAGAACATAAAAAACTTGATGGAGTTGAAAAACACGGCACAAGAACTACATGAAGCAAACACAAGTTTTAAAAGCCGAATAGATCAAGCAGAAGAAAGGATATCAGAGATTGAAGGTCAACTCAATGAAATAAAAAGAGAAAGCAAGACAAGAGTGAAAAGAAATGAACAAAGCCTCCAAGAAATATGGGATTATATGAAAAGACCTAATCTACACTTGATTAGTGTACTCAAATATGATGGGGAGAATGAAACCCCGCTGGAAAACATGCTCCAGGATATTATCCAGGAGAACTTCCAAGCCTAGCAAGGCAGTCCAAATTTCAAATTCAAGAATTACAGAGAACTACACAAAGATATTACTCAAGAAGAGCAACCCGAAGGCACATAATCGTCAGATTCACCAGGGTTGAAATGAAGGAAAAAATGCTAAGGGCAGCCAGAGAGAAAGGTCAGGTCACCCACAGAGGGAAGTCAGTCAGATTCACAGCAGATCTCTTGGCAGAAATCCTACAAGCCAGAAGAGAGTGGGGGCCAATATTCAACATCCTTAAAGAAAAGAACTTTCAAACCACATCTCATATCCAGCCAAACTAAGCTTTGTAAGGGAAGTAGAAATAAAATCCTTTATGGACAAGCAATTATTGAGAGATTTTGTCACCACCAGACCTGCCCTACAAGAGCTCCTGAAAGAAACATTAAGCACGGAAAGGAACAAGTACCAGTCACTGCAAAAGCAAACCAGCTAGCAAAGACCAAAAATGCAATGAAGAAAATGAGTCAATTAATGGGAAACAAAACAAGCCAGTAACAAAATGGTAGGCTCAAATTCACATATAACAATATGAACATTGAATGTAAATGGCCTAAATGCCCCAATCAAAAGACACATACTGGCAAACTGGATAAAAAGTCAGAACCCATTGGTGTGCTATATTCAGGAAACCCATCTCACATAAAAAGACACACATAGACCCAAAATAAAGCGATGGAAGAAGATTTATCAAGCAAATGGAGAACAAAAAAAAGCAGGGGTTGCAATCCTAGTCTCTGATAAAATGGATTTCAAACCAACAAAGATTAAAAGAGACAAAGAAGGACACTACATAAAGGTAAAAGGATCAATCCAACAGGAAGAGTTAACTATCCTAAACATATAAGCCTCCAACACAGGAGCACCCAGATACATAAAGCAAGTTCTTAACAACCTAAAATGAGATTTAGACTCCCATAAAATTATAGTGGGAGACGTCAACACTCCACTGTCAATATCAGACAGATCAACGGACACAAAATTAACAAGGATATCCAGGACTTGAGTGCAGAGCTGGACAAAGAGGACCTGATAGACATATACAGAATGCTCCACCCCAAATCTGCAGAATATACATTTTTCTCAGCACCACATCACACTTACTCTAAAATTGACCACATTACTGGAAGCAAATCACTCCTCAGAAACTGCAAAACAACAGAAATCATAACAAACAGTCTCTCAGACCACAGCGCAATCAGACTAGAACTCAGGATCAAGAAACACCCTCAAACCCGTACAACCACTTGGAAACTGAACAACTTGCTTCTGAGTGTCGACTGGATAAATAATGAAGTGAAGGCAGAAATAAAGATGTTCTTCAAAACCAACCAGAAAGAAGACAAAACTTGCCAGAATCTCTGGGATACTTTTAAAGCAGTGTTGAGAGGGAAATTTATAGCAATAAATGCCCACTAGAGAAGAGAGGAAACAGCTAAAATCGACACCCTATCACCAAAATAGAAAGAGCTAGAGGAGCAAGATTAAAAAAAAACCTCAAAAGCTAGCAGAAGACAAGAAATAACTAAGCAGAGCAGAACTGAAGGAGATAGAGACACACACAAAAAAATCCTTCAAAAAATCAATAAATCCAGGAGCTGGTTTTTTGAAAAGATCAACAAAATAGACCACTAGCCAGATTAATAAAAAAGAAAAGGGAGAAGAATCAAATAGATGCAATAAAAAACAATAAAGGGGATATCACCACTGATCCCAGAGAAATACAAACTACCATCAGAGATTACTACAAACAGCTCTACTCACATATCAGTAAACCAGAAAGAAATGGATAAATTCCTATACACTTTTACTCAACCAAGACTAAATCAGGAGGAAGTTGAAACCCTGAATAGACCAATAACAAAGGCTGAAGTAGAAGCAGCTATCAATTGCCTACCAACCAAAAAAAGTCCAGGCCCAGACAAAGAGGAGCTGGTTCCATTCCTTCTGAAACTGTATCAAACAATACAAAAGGAGGGAATCATCCCTAACTCATTTTATGAAAGCAATATCATCTTGATACCAAAACCAGGCAGAGACTCAATTAAAGAAGAAAACTTCAGGCCAATATCCGTGATGAACATAGACACAAAAACCTTCAATAAAATAATGGCAAACAGATTGCAACAGCACATCAAGAAGTTTATCCATCACGACCAAGTAGGCTTCATCCTGGGAATGCAAGGCTGGTTCAACACACGCAAATCCATAAATGTAATCCATCACATAAATGGAACCAAAGACAAAAACCATATGATTATCTCGATAGATGCAGAGGCCTTTGATAAAATTCAACAGCTCTTCATGCTAAAAACTCTCAATAAACTAGGTACTGACAGAACATATAATAAAATGGTAAAAACTGTACATGACAAACCTACAGCCAATATTACACTGAACAGGCAAAAAAGCTGGAAGAATTCCCTTTGAAATCAGGCACTAGACAAGGATGCCCTCTCTCACCATTCCTATTCAACATAGTATTGGATGTTCTAGCCAGAGCAATCAGGCACAAAAAAGAAATAAAGGGTATTCAATTAGGAAAGGAGGAAGTCAAACTGTCTCTATTTGCAGATGACATGACTGTATATCTAGAAGACACCATCGTCTCAGCCCCAAATCTTTTCAAACTGATAAGCAACTTCAGCAAAATCTCAGGATACAAAATCAATGTGCAGAAATCACAAGCATTCCTATATACCAAAAACAGACAGACAGCAAAATCAAGAGTGAAATCCCATTCACAATTGCTACAAAGAGAATAAAATACCTAGGAATACAACTAACAA